ATTGATAATGTATTTTTCAATTAAGCATAAATTTGTAGATAAATTTGTATTATAGAGAATTAGAATAGAGATAAGACATAAATTAGTTTTTATGCTGGTTTATCAGGAATTGTTATTATACATATTGTTATTATACATATTATTTTTTTTTAATTATATGCAGAAATGATGATAATAGAAATATTTTTTTTATATTTCATATTCATAAATTCTCCTGATCTGTTAAGAATCAGCGTATAAACTAGATTTTTTGTGCAAAAAATTATCCGGGTAAAAATGTTTCATATATAATTATATAAAATTATAATTATATATAAAATATGTCCATTTATATAATATTTTTTCTCGGGTAGATTATTTTATATTAGACAACCTTATTAGAGAGATTTCAAGAAAGAGTTTTAGGGAATAGATATTCCTGGAATATTATGTATGTTTATATTTAAACATTCAAGACTTTTTTCTATTTAATTTATATTTAAACTGTTTTAAATTAAAAAATAAATAATTTAAAATTTCATGCATATAAAAAAGGAGCTATAAGCCAATATAATATATTTATTACAATATTCAAGATAAAAATTATAAAACAAAAGTAGAAAAAGTTGATGTAACAAAATTTAATAGCAAAATATAACAAAGACACGTTTCGACCTATCATAAGATCATCTTCATTGTTAACATAAAAATTAAAATATCTACGAAATTAATTTATATTTAATTTATTTAATAGAAACGCAAATGAAGTTATTTATGGTAATTCCAGTATATAGCTGTGATTTCGTGGCAACTTATCGGTGTTATGACGTAATTTTCCAAAGAAAGTGATAGACGCTACTTGTAAATGCTATGCACTCGCATTTCGATGAGGATACATTCAAGAATCGTTATAGTTGTAACTATTATAATTAATAGATAATATTACAAAGACAAGTAAAGACAATAAAATTAGATTTATAAAGAACAGAATAAAATTAGTATTGTGTCTATGAATAGAATATAATGGAAAGAAAAAAAAAGAAGAAAGTATCTTAGTCATATGTTAAAAATGCACAATTAAGTAAAAATAAGAATAAATAAAAATAAAAAAATATATATATCTACTTTAAAACGAGTGCATACCATAATTGTTTGTTATAATTGTACTACGATAATAATAATAATAACAAATAATTTAATTATTTTTATTTAAAATCAATGTGTTAAAGCTACAATTTGATTGTCATAATTTGAACCAGTGACAAATAGAATTACACGTGATAATCACGATTACGCGTTATCGTAACAAATCGTATATCAAATAAAAGATAGTACACCTAAAAATCAACATTTAGTATTTGAAAGAACTAACAAAAATAATAAAAATAATAAATTTTACTCATCATTTATTTATTTAAAGGATTGAAATGCGTCAACTACTTATAATGCGCATATGTAAATAACATTTTATTTAAATCACTGAAAAGTGTGAAAAATTACGATATATTTTTGCGATTTAGTATATATTTGTATTGAAATAAAGAATATAAATAAAAAATATATTTAAATATTTCATACAGATTAATCTATATATTTTCACGATGATGCGAGTTATAAACTAATTGATTTAGATTAACAATGGAAACCGTACCTTATTTATAATAAATTTATAATAAAAAATTCATCGAATATGCATTAATTTAAATATAATATTTACATAAACATATATAAACATTATTTAGAATAAAATACTTTAGAAGAATCGTATTTTATTCGAAATTTATATTTATATATGTATGTATAATCTTAATGAACGATATTATTCTGTTATTCACAGTTATACTCACAAAGGAAATTATTATCTTATTATCTCAAGTGTATCAAATTCAAAATATTTGAGATATTACAATACGAGCTGCGGACACTAAGCTATTTTGTAATCACTACCTGAAGTAGAGGATCCGGAACAATCAATATTTTTTCACGTAAGAAATGAAGACATTTGAGCATAAAAGACAGTTTTCTATGAATATTCAATACGTGCATATTGGCTGGGGACAAAGGTAATATATACTCATTATCAAACAAAGTGTATTATAATTTGGGCAATGTTATCTCTATTTCACAACCTTCACTTATTTGCTACAGATAAATTGTACACTCATTTAACCTAAAAATAACTATACGAATAAACAATTATTTGATAAACAATTACATATATCGCAATATGTTTATTGCGTCAGACCATTTACGTTTTGTTAAATCTTTCGTTCCCGATATTTGCATTAATTGATCTTGTACTTTTCACACAGCACAATTATTTTATGTCGACTCACGAACTCGTAACACCTGTTTTATGTTCGCGTTATAATTAATGGGAGTGAAAAAACAAAAAGTTGCGTTTTTGTATGTTATATATTAATAGTTGTTCGAATATAAGTACGATCGAACGACTTGAAAGTATTCGGATAATACTCGCTTCGCGAACTTTGTTTTCTTGATTCCGCAAATTGAATAATAAAACATTCTCGCATTTCTAAGAAAGAAACTTACGCAAATTGGAATAGATAAGGATATCAAATAGATAGACAACTTCAACACACATATATACAAAATTATATAACGGAATATGAATTCAATAACAAAGTTAATTATAGAAAACACATTATAGTACAGAAATTTGTTGGAAATAATAAATGATAAAATTAATTTTAAAGCTATTAAGTATATAAATAAACATTTCGTGTAATTTATCATAATAATTTAGTTTAGAATAAATTGTATAACTTGATATTTACTCTTTTATTTACTGAAAAAGAAAATTGAATATAAATATTAATATATTTTTTATTTACTGAATAAAACAAAAATTACACATTCAGAGGTAAAGATATTAGAAACTCGAAAGATATTATCTTAAAATTGCCACAATGTCCAGTGACAATCTTAAATACAAGGTTATTTTGTCTCCGACTTTTGCATGTTGCGTAATTCCCCCGCATTATCTTTGCAATTATTTTTCTTCAAGTAACAGGATAGTGTGTTGTAAAAATATGTAATTATCATTTTTATGTTGACAAAGAATTAAACGTGTAGTTTAAGATGTGTAGTATAAGATGTCACATGTAAGAAAGACATTGCAATAGTTATACGGTACTTTTTTGTGTCCATTTCAGTTTAAAAGTGACATTTTTGATTATCAGATTTAAATATAAAATAATATAAAATTCATTTATTTAATTTATATATTTAATATATCGCGATTACTTTGTGATACATTACAAATTACTTAATAATATCTTTACCGACAGGTGTAACATGTACGTGCTATTGTTAGTCTTAGTCTTATTTCAAGTTTGTTTGGGGTTTACCGGGCGTGGACTGTTTTATCCCGGTAGAGCAGACTTGTTTGAGTTATCGATAATTCATTTAAATGACTTTCATGCCAGGTGAGTAAATCTGTTTAATTTTTATTTATTCTCCGAAATATTTATAGATAACACAGTGATGCTAACTGATGCTAAGTCTATAAGATTTATGAATTGAATTTATGTTAATTAAAGATTTTATCATACGTATAAGAAAGGATAATACTAATTGTAAGTATATTTCAATAAGAATAATCCAAATTTGCAGATATTGAAAAATAAAGAAAACTAAACAAACTATAATCGAATTGAGACAGATATGATTTTATTTTATTTCGAAAAAGGAGAACTTTATTTCGAAATATTGTTTTATTGAAAAATATTTCTTTTGATATATTCTGCAAGAATTTTTATTATATTTATTATATTTTATTGTGTTTTCTGATTTCTAATATTATCTAAAGATTCGTGATGAGTCAGGAGAATTAAACAAAAAATTAAACATAGTCTTTTTATGTAAATTATGTGTTGTAAATTATGTGTCGAATTTGTAAAAAAATTACTGATCGGTGTTAAGAAGTGTTAAGTCTTTAACAACCATTAAAAAATCTTGATACATAATTAATGTCAAAATTGATTATAATTCTAGACTCGAAAAGACTTTTACGAGATCAAGAATAAAGTTATTACAAGTTAATTTCGATGATGTAGCCTTAACCTACTTTTTTTTATCTATCGTTCGACTTTTGTATGCTTTTTGTGACGTATTGTTCGTTGGAGCGCCAAAGCGTGACATTTGAAAAAAAAAAAAACGGATATTATGTTGGAACAGATTCGAACAGACGAGCCCATATTCTGGAACCTGCCGAGAGGATTACAAAAAGGATTGCATAGGAGGTATAGCTAGAGTCTACACTGCAGTTAATCAGCTCATGAAAGAACGACCGAATGCAATTTTCTTGAATGCCGGCGATCACTTTCAAGGAACTCTTTGGTATAATATCCATCGTTGGAACGTCACTGCAGTGTTTATGAATATGTTGCCACACGATGTTATGGTAATTATATATATATAGTACAGTGGAACATAATTGTGATAATTATATGCATATAGTATAATACGTGTAATATTTTTATTATATGTTCATATAAAACAGGAGAGAAAGAGAGAGATTTGTATATATACTGATATGTATATAAATAATGATAATAAAGAAAATATAAATAAAATTTAAAATGTCACAACGAAAGATTAAATTTAAATAATTTACTATTCTTCAAAATTTTCAAAGTTTTTTACATTTATGATATAATAATATTTTATAATATTTTCATAGACGATCGGTAATCATGAATTCGACAATAAAATCGAAGGTGTGGTTCCCTTTCTTAAAAATGTCAAAGCACCAGTTGTAGTAACAAATATTGATGACAGTGAGGAGCCAACTATACAGGTTTGTAATCTCTATTTATTTTTTTTTTTAAGAGTGTAAATTTGATCTAATTTTCTTATATGATTATATTATATGATTATATTTTAGGGCTTATATAAGAATAGCACAATTATTATAAGAAACGGTACCAAAATTGGCGTCATTGGCGTTATTTTATCGACTACAAACGTGAGTAATCAATTACATTCTTATAAATTAGAAGTTATTTGATTTTATTTAATAATATTTGATTTTGTTTATTAATTTAATTTATATATTTATAAAATATTTCTTTTTTTCTCTGTATAAAATATTGTAAAGAATTTATTGAAGAATTTGATTTTTCCAGTTTCTATCGAATACGGAGAAATTGAAGTTTCTGGATGAAGTAGAAACAGTCAACGACGAAGCCAAACGACTGAAAGAAAAAGGAATAAATATTATTATAGTTTTAAGCCACTGTGGATTGGATGTGGACAGGATCATGGCTGCGAAGTGTCCTTTGATCGATGTAATCGTCGGTGGTCATTCGCATACGTTTCTTTACAGTGGTCTGAAAGCAAAATCTTTTACATTAGTCAAATATAAATTAAATTTATATATAAATTTTTTTTTATTACGGATAGATATGTACGTACAAGCTATAAAAAATATCACTGATCATACAGTATATCGCTCAATTGCTAGAATAATGACACAATTAAAAAATAGTCATTCTTTAGCAGCTTGTAGAGAAAATGTAAAGGAAATGTAAAGGAAAAAGAAAAAATGTATTAAAAGAACATACTTTTATTCCTCTAGCTACAATCAATTATTATACTAAAATTGTCAATAAAATTGTCAATAAGTTATTATACTAAAATATTAATAACTAAAATTAAAATTACAAAATTAAAAAAATTTAAAATATTGAAACTCATTTTCTGAAAAAATTGTATCGTTATAATATGAGTGAATTAATATAGAGTCAATTAGTAATATATTAAAATAGCGTCAATTTTTTTCTTTATTGCAGGACCTCCGCCTTTTATCGATACACCAGAGGATGAATATCCTGTGATCGTAACGCAGAATGAAACAGATAGAACAGTTCTTATCGTTCAAGCAGCTGCTTATACAAAGTACGCTATTCAGTTAGCATGAGGATAGTAAGAGCATCGTTAAAGAAGCTATCTTATATCAAGCTCAATTGCTATCTTATGTCATGAGGTCGGGTTTGATTAATTTGTTTTTATTGCAATAATTTGACAGATAAATTTATTTCAAATTCATCGAAAGAATATTTAAAATCTATATTTAAAATTCGTATTATCCCTATTATTACGCATACATACTGTTAACATCAAAGGCGCAGTGACCTCTTGAGTTTAAAAATAACAATTTTGTTATTTTTAAATAACGCCTATATATATTGATGTGTACACTTAGATAATAAACTAATTTTGTCAAATTTAACACATTTTCTTGAGTAAATTGTTTAATTCCATTATTTTAGTTAAATTAATGACATATTAGAAACAGCGACGATTCATAGAAATGATATCAACTAACTCAAATTGAGTACAAATTGACTCTACTATAAATCACTATAAATTTAACTATGTAATAATACGATAAAGATTCGTAATTTTTGTTTATTTTTTTTTAAGATATTTAGGTAATCTGACAGTGTGGTTCGATGACCAAGGGGAAGTTGTTGATTGGGACGGAAATCCTATTCTTTTGGATCAATCCATCGAAGAAGGAAAGTCTTGAATTTAAGAATTAAATTTTTATTATTATTCATGACAATAAATACTCAACACAATGCTTAAAATAGTTTAAATGCAGTACAATAAAAGCGATACTTAAAATAATGCCTAAAATATCTTATATATATATATATATATAGATTCGGAAATCTTGGAAGCTTTGAAGCCATGGAAGAAGGTAGTAGATGAAACGGCTTTAAAAAAAGTCGGCACAACGAGAGTTTTACTTCAAAACAATTGTTACAATCAAGAATGCAACATGGGAAATCTTATAACCGACGCCATGGTGAATGCGGTGCGGAGAATACTCTTTGCAATATTCTATATCTTTAATTAAAATAGAAAAATAATTAAGTTGGAAATTGCCTTAATTTTAGGTTGTCGACGATGTCGAAAATAAAACTCATTGGACGTATGCAGCAGTGGCCTGTATGAATCCAGGAGGAATTCGTAGTTCCCTTGAGGAGTCTGATATTACCTACGGTGATCTGATGATGGTTTTGCCTTTTGAAAATACTTGGGATACTATTGAACTGACTGGAGAATCTATTAGAAAAGTCAGTAAAATTTTGTTATAATTCTTTAATATTCTATTTAAAAAACGAAAATTTTAAATATTCAGTTGAAATATTATTAGATCCTTTTGTCTTAATTTACAATAATACAATGAAAAAAAAAAGATTGATTGCTGCAACAATTTAGATTAGTTGTAGCAACAAATTTTTAATTGTTTAGCCTATCCGCAATGTCAGTATATGATTTCGACAGGCTAACGCAACTAAAAATTTACTACTACAACCAAAAAATGGTTACTGCAACCATATAAAAATGCTATGCCATATTTTACTATCTAAATTGTTGCAGCAACCAATCTTTTCTTTCAATATAAATTACTAAATAAAGTCGAGCACTATAAAATAGTGTCACAAGACATAAACTGAAATATGCGGTAACAATGATTTCTTTTCAAAAATACAAAAATCGAATAATGTATTGAATAATAAAATGAATTTTATTTTGTTTTGTAGATTCTAGAAATGAGACAAATGTTAGTCTGGTCCGGACTAAAAATTACTTACACGAAAGTAAATGAAACGCGATTTCTGGTTAATGTTAAAATTAGGTAAAATCTTTTATTGCCAAAATTTTTCGCCGTAAAGATGAAAGAATTGTTTTGTGATGTTAATTTTAATTTCTCTTGACATATCAATAGATGCCAGGCTTGTGAATATCCAGTATTCGAAAACTTGGCGGACAATCAATGGTATAGAATGGTGATATCAAATTTTTTGATGAGTGAGGGAGACGGCTTTCACATTTTTAAAAATAAAAGTCGTAATCACAAAACCGGAACAGTCGATATAAATCACTTTATAAAATATATAACGAAGATGAGTCCTCTATTAATTGGAACCGAGAGACGAATCAATATTATAGAGTAGAATTTAGAGAGGAAGGGAGAATAAAATTTCTTTATTTTTAATAATTAATTATAGAAATAATTTTAAACTTAAAGAAAATTATATATTATTTTATAT